TGTTTTATTTCCCCCCACATAAACATGACAAACTCAAGCAGGGCAGTAAATCCAACAACGCCATCAAACTGTCGCAGTTAGCAGGAGCTGCAGGAGAGAGTCGACAGTTTGGGAGCCAGGCAAGAGACGCTGGCCGTTTGGCACTTAGCTCTGACACATTCAGGTCTACCTTCTCAAACAAGACAAGCCGGATGTCGCTAACAGGCTTAACAATGCCGGACCCGCGGGACAGGAAAAGTCGGCCCTTGAGAGAATGGGAGATCAACAAACTGGAGGCTACCTTGAGGAAATGTCTTTCATAAAACATGGCCATTTGAGGTCTCCAGAGCTTGAGTGTTATTATAACTTTCTTGGAGTTGAACGGGGTGTCTGGGATCTTATCTTGTCGGTCTGTTGTCCAAACTGAGATTGTTAAATCCCAGGATAGTATGCAAATCCTCATCCTGGAGGGGAGACACTAATCGATCGATCGTGTATCTTTGGTATCATATCTATCCACAGTCTTCAGTCTTGTTTACCGCAAGTCGTTTCTGACACAGATGGTGTTTCGTACAATTTTTTAAAACTGTCTTTCGTCCTTTCTCTTGGTCTCGTTTACTACCAGTCATTTCTGACACAGATGGCTTTCCATACCATGATGTCAAACTGTCTGTGGTCATTTCTCTTGGCCTTCCCCTGCCCCTCTTCCCTCTAACCGCCATTACCTCGATATTCTCCAGCTTCCCCCTGTTTACCTTGTTATCAAAGACTGTCCCCTTCTAATGCGGCTGATCAGTTCTCTTCTTCTGTTAAATTCGTTCAAAGCATCTCCATTATACTTTTTGTCTGTCCACTTTGCAACGGTCGCTGTGACAGCGTCAAGTACTTCCAGGGTTTATTGACTAAAGCCATTGGTCGTACATATTTGGAAACAACTACCCCCCCTCTCTCTCCCCCTCTCTCTCTCCCTCCCTCTCTCTCTCTCTCTCTCTCTCTCTCTCTAACTCTCTCTCTCTCTACACACCCACTCCTTTCCTAAACTAATATTATAGAGCATTTGATATGTTTCAAGGCAGCGATACTCCAAACTTTAGTCGAAATGTTAATGCATGCATATTTGCAAGTTGTGTATTGAACAAACTAGAAAATATTGAAACTGGCACTAAGTCACTTCTCTCTGTGTATGTGTGTGTGTGTGTGTGTGTGTGTGTATGTATGTATGTGTGTGTGTGTTTACAACTATAACCACATCAGAAAGAAAGTAAACATACCTGTTATAATCGCCATGTTTTCAGAAGAACATATCAAACAAATAAATGGGCAATTTTTTAAAATGTAATTTACTCACTAAGAATTTAACAATAAAATAAACATTTTCGTTTTCTAAACAGTGACAGTGTCACAGATTTATTTATTTAATTATTTTGCCTTAAGTCACACCCAGTTTAAAACTTATTTTATGCCTCCGCCTCTTATCTTGCTGACTACCCACCTGTCTACATAAATAACATAATATCATAACCTACATGCCAACACCATAGTGCCGTTGGTCCATAAATATAGGTTAGCCCTATATGCCCTATACCTAAGGGCGTGGTTGAAACAGTGCATGTAATATCATTCCATTTTTGTGGCTCTATTTTGCGCAGGCACCTGTCAGTGAATGTCTCTAGTTTATTAGTAATTGCCTTAGTTGGTCTCCAAGTTTCCGCTCCATACAACAGTACTGATTTGTCATTAGAATTAACAATTTTAAGTTAAGGTTAGTTTTAAATTATTTTGACCTCGACAAATTTCCTAGTGCATTCGTATTTTAATACCTCTGCCAGTTCCCATATCTTTATCTACATGACTGCTTGCATAGGTGTACGACTCCACATCTTGGAGAAGGATACAATCAAGAGCACCTAAGAAAAGGGCAATACGTTGCTGACTGTTTATGTTTTCACGGGTGGGGATGGGAAGGCGTGGTGTAGCGGTTAGACGGTCGCCTGTGGAGAGGAAGGTCGTGGTTTCGGCTTCTGAAGGAGCCAGAGTTTTTTTTTTTTTTTTCAAAATCGACCTTAGCTCCCAGGTCTAACAGGCCTTAAATAGGTACCAGGTACAATCTTGGGAAATAAAGCTGGCCGTTGCGATGTTTATCACATTTCCCCGTTTGAGGGTCCGGTTGGTCTGTAAGAATATAGGCCTATTTCTGTGGGACCAGTAAGCAGAAGACGTGGACAATGACCCGTTATTCAATTGAGTGCCTCTACTGCTGTTTGTACAGCGTTTTATTCTTGCCTTGATCCGGAGAATTTAGACGGAATAATCTGAAGTGGCCACGAACTGTGCCAGTTAGGTCTTTTATTCTGCTTAGACAAAGCCTTTTTTCGACAAGTGTAAGACAAAACCCCCGGATAAACACCCCTTTTAAAACGATTCCCCTGTTAAGCGATCCCCTTTTAAGACGATCCCAGTGTAAGATATCCCCCGTGTAAGAGACCCCCTGTGTAAAGATCCCAGTATAAGATGATCCATGTTTAAACGACCCATACAAGCGACCTATGTTTAAAGATCCCCTGGTAAAACGACCCCTGTATTAGACACCGCAGACAAAACCACCCCGGTATAACACGCACCCGATTTTTTTAGGGACTTAGAGGGGAAAAAAAAAAAATTACATAAAAGGGAATGAACCACGTTTTAGTATTTAGAATCCAGAAAGCATCACGTCCAAAATCCACGCGTTCTTTAGTTGCCGTTTCTGGTCTAATGACTAATCACCATATCATATATTTAAAAAAAAGTCAAAGGGCCCTTTTTCAACCTTTTTGAGTCAGAAAACAGCGAGAAAACACCTTTATGATGTCAGAAAAGCGAGTAAACACCTTTTTGATGTCAGAAAACAGCGAGAAAAAAACCTTATATGCAGTAAAAAGCGAAAAAAAAACTTTTTGAGTCAAAAACAGGGAAAAAAACCATTTATGTGTGATACACAGCAAAAACTCTCCTTTCAAGCAAAAATGCCGGCTGTAATCCGCCTACACAATTAAAATGTGGGGAAAAAAAACCGGCCAAGGTTTTTTTTTGGGTGAAAAATGCTAGCAGGGGGGGTAACAACACGCCCAACTGCACCCGGGATTTATACTTCTTTCTTTAGTGCCGATCAAAACAATTTTGTTTTTTAATAAGACATAATGAAAGGGACCTGACTGATACACGTATACTGACAAAAAAGTGAAAGGACACGCAATCAATGCTTGAAAATAAACATAACAAGAGACAGACTTATAAAGCTAAAAATGCACGTAGCTATGAGTGACGTAAATATACAGAAATGGACGTTAATGTGAAAGGCAGCCTTCCCTACACCACGCCTTCGAAGGAACGGGAATAATTTTTGAGTTTTTCTTTGTGATTTCCGAAGGCGTGTCTGTGTATGTGTATGTATTTGTGTGTGCGTGTGTGTTTAACATTAAATATTAAGTGCAAGACCAGAAAATACCCCACCTTATATTATATCGTTGTAAAAGTAAATAAGGTTTACAAAAACTCTCTTAAAAGAATCAGCTCAGAAAATGGGACTAGTTATCAAAAAATACAAGACAGAATACATAATAATAACCAGACAGGGAAATGATATAAACTCCGACCAACTACAAGTGGATTATATGAAAATCTAACGAACGGAAAAATATAAGTACTTAGGTGCAAACTCTAACTGCAAGAAGAAATACAATCTAGAATACTATCTGGAAATAAACTGTGCTAAGCCCTTCAACATCTGCTAAAGTCAAAAAGTATGTCTAGCAACACCAAGATCAAAATATATAAACATTTTATAACAGGTTTCCGAAAACAGAGTCTTACGGCGAATCTTTGGACCCATCAAATATGCAAACAACGGGGAAATGGAGAGTGAGAAGCAATAATGAAATCATAATCCTCATTGATTACTGGCATCAAGAGAGGTATTAGACAGAAACGGTTGGGGCATATTGAAAGAATGTCAGATGACAGACCATAGGGAGATAATTTTCGTAGATCACGAGGCAGACCAAGAAGTCAATGTAGAGATAATGTTCAGACAGACCTGCAAACACTTGGTGTTACCAACTTGAAAAAGAGGGCCAACCAGAGAGATGAATGCAGGCGGGTGATATCTGCAGCAATGAACCTCAAGGGCTTGAAATGTCGAAGAAGAAGAAGAAGAAGAAGAAGAGAAGAAGAGAAGAAGAAGAAGAAGAAGAAGAAGAAGAAGAAGAAGAAGAAGAAGAAAAAGAAAGGCGAAGGAATCAGGAGAGACATGTCTGGTTGTAGCGGCCTATGAGCAAGAAAATGGCGACATGGGTCGCATCCTGTGGAGAAGTAAGGAGGGTTCCCAAACAGGTACTGATATAGAAAACAAATTTACTGAAGAAACGAGGAAATTCACAAGAAATTAGGCCCTCACGTTGATGAGACAGGCTGGATGTGTTGCACTTTACGGTTACCTTGGTGAAACAGACAGTTCATGAATGTAGTCGAATTTGTGTTTCACTTTCTAGGATTCAGCTATTTGCTTCAATTTAATCAATTGTTACTGTAGTATGCACCTGACGAGATACAGCGAAATATGTCGGGCAAAAAATTGTTAACAAGGATGATGCATTTCGAATTATATAGAAAGATTGCTCAAGGTATAACGAAATGAATAAACAGAGTGTGTCGAAATTATGACCAGTGCCGTAATCCCTGACCTAAATGTTGTTATTGGCCACGATGGTTGTCATGGGCATAAGTTACTAATTATAGCACATCCTCCATATTTTTTTTAAAATATGTTTATTCCAGCAATAATACTTGCCGCTTGAAGTGTCCTAACGTCCGACACATTGATAAATTGCTAACGTATGGTCTGATTCTCACAACTGAGGTCTGTTTGCTGAGTTTATCGTTTTAGTACACGGTTGTAATTCATTTCAAAGAAGGGCCAAGGTTCGTTTCCCGACGCCAATCCACCGAGAAGCGAAAATTCAGTTTATTCTACAACTCAAATCATGGAGCAAACTTTACAACCCCAGACACCCCGATCCTGGCCTGCGTTGGTCGGAAAGGTAAAGTGAATTATGTTACACATATATTTATATACATCATATTTACTTTAATTCAAGTATAAATGATATTTTAAAAAATCAATCATTTCAATGCTTTTACTTATTACATCTTTTCGATACGAAGCAAAAGTTTT